TGAACTGATTACATGTCCTGAAGACTTTAAATATCAGAATTTCAAGCGGATAGAAAAAGTTGGGCATCGTTGGTTCTTTCGACAAAGTCGTCGTCACACAGTATGCTGTCTTTGGTTCTATTTTGGTGGATCCATTTTTATTTTTGGACTGCGCATTTCCAGAATCTGCACACTAAATGTGCGGAGGAGAATTTGAATCACACCTCAGACCGGGGAGAACATCCAAGGAGCAGGATGGAGGTAAGGTTTCAGGGGTTAGGTGTCAGAGAGGCTTCCACTCGGGAAGCACAGAGTAAAAAAGCAGATGGGAAATGTCCTTTATCTGTTAAGGAGGGAAAACACAGTTTCTTTTGGCTGGTTTGATGTCTGCTAGGCGCTGTCAGTCGTGTACGACATTTGCATCACGCTGTTTTGTACAACCAGCTGAACATTTATGGAATGAGGTGTGAGCCTTACAGCGCACCGTGGAGATGTCCATCATAAAAGTTAAACCTCAAATAACACATGCAGCCAGTGGGATCAAATTTAGGCTCAGCAGTCAGTGATCCCAGAATCTGATGACTGCCCTCGAGAAATATTTTAAACTGGCTGAGTATGTAAGCCTCAGAATAGAGATTTTCATCTTTTTTATTTCATTCAACGAAATATATAGAAAAATAACCAGAAATACAAAGACTTTGTTGTGAACATTCACATCCCCTTAAGTTACCAATTCTGTCTAAGAAAAAATAAAAACGGTATGGCTTTTTAAATCCATGGAATTGACATGGCCAGGGTTAGGCATCATATATTTGGGGGCAATATTTGCAGTTTAAAAGAACTGTCTGTGACAATAAGACTGTGGAGGACAAAAGAGGGAAAGAGCCTTTTGTTAGAAATTTGTGTAGCACACTTAATGATAGACAATAAATAAAGGTTAGAACTATGTAACTATGCTGCACTGCAAGTTAAAGGTAAAAAAAAGAAGACAGAATATGGAACAAAGAGACATCATCCTCACAATATCTGATAATTTCTTTGAAGTTAATTTACCAAACATCTTGGTCACAAATAAAAAATTAGGTTACTTAAACTAATTACACCATCCACTAATCCCCACCAGTTGCAGCACAAGTAATTGTAGATGTTTGGTCTCACATTTGGTTTTCTTAAAAGAGACGAAATTCATGGTTCAGAATAAACAATCTCAAAAAGCTATCTGAGCACAAACGTCTGAGTTTAGAAAATGGATTTGAATTGGTTCTTCTTGTATGGCATTGACACAGAAAGATAAAAAGAAAAAAAGCATTGCATTGATATGGCAACTGTCCTAGTTTTTTTTTTCTTTTTTTGCATGGTCATCGTACACAAAGTCTGATAAGGTTGCAGCTACATGGAATTATTATTTTGTTTGATGATGATGAAAGAATTTGACTGTGAGAGTGAGAAAATACTTTGCACTTTGTAAAGCTGAGAAAATTGTAGAAAATAAGTCCACCTATTAAGAGCATACAAGTTTAAATTCTCCATCTTTTGGACCAAGACAATCCAAACATACTATTGTGATAAAATAAGTCTAAATATGTCATGTTAGTATATTATATCTATATCTATATGTAGCATATGATGTAAACATGCTATATCTTTTCCAGAGGTATTGAAGCATATACCCAAAAATATACTTTATTTGTGTTTATGGCAATTAGCAATGCTTTGTAGTGAAGATAAATATTCATATAAATAATTTAAACATGAACTACAGTGGCTTTGCCTATGTGCTGCCTCATTTGAAGGCAGTAAATCTCTCTCTGCGTGCTTGTGCGTGCACGGATTGAAGGGTGTTGTATTTTTAGTTTGGACAGCCCCTCAAATATCCAATAGCAGGTTAAAGTCTCCCTGAGAGACAGCGCGTATTAGCAGAGCTGTCAGCAGAGCCTCCATCCACAGCGGAGGGATTATCACCGGTCCAAGGTACAGCTGCCTCATCTCTGAAGTCTCTGCACACGTTTGGATAACATTCTCCTCCCAAAAAGCGGACAAAATGTGGACGTACTAGCGATGACAACTGTCCCTTTTTTTTATTTTCCCTGTTTGTGTGTGCAGAAGGGTTTGAAGGCGTTCCGAGATGAGCAGTGAAAAGAGCGCAGAGGTGGTGGGCTGCGATGCCTCCATCATGAGAAACGTGTGGGAGATCAGAGCCAGAGACTACGACCAGAGGAGGCAGCTGGAGCTGCAGCGGGTGGAGAAGAGTGCTCTGCCCGTGTAAGAACCAGCCACCCGCCTCTGTCTTTACACACGTCCATAAAACCCTCGACAAGCTCTTTGAGATGTGATATCTTCGTAAAAGATCATGGATAGGATGTGATTGATTTAGCCAGGGATTAGTTCTTTAGTTGTAAAACGCGGTGCCAAGCCATCTGTCTGTACTTAATTGTCACAAGCTGAATTTCTGAATTTGCCATTACTTTACATGTCAGCGTCCAATAATCTATTAAATAGTCTTAAGAAAAATTAAGAGAACAACATGAGCAAGTGAATAATATTGGACCTCCATAAAAGGAATAAAATCCTTCTTGTATTTCTCTTGAGTGGATCATAGTACAATTGATAGGAATGTTAAAAATGATGGAAGAAGGAAAGATGCACTTGTGTAATTCCATATCTGTATCTGTGCTTTTAGCCATCTTTAGGGAGCAGAATTCCCTGTTGATATTTGTGGGTTAAACCAGACTTTGACCAAACTGGGGGAAAAAAAGAGTTGCTAAATTAGTCATGGCTTGTTGAGAGCCAAAGACAGGACATAAGTGAATGCTGAGTACTATGATAAATATTTGATTCCACTACAACTAGAA